ATTAATTATTGATTATATGTAACTTTAATATTATATTATATTTAGATTATATTAATTATATTTAAATATAAAAAATATTGCATATATTTTACCCGAATTATTTTTTTCAAAAGTCCCATAATAATATCAGTAAGAAGAGTTCTTTCATGTACTTCATCTACTACAATTACAGAGTAACTTGTCAGCAAAGGATCGCTCATTAATTCTCGAAGAAGAATTCCTTCTGTCATGTACTATAAATAACACGACTAATTACTGAATCAATTATTAATTTTTTACATTTTCAATACTTTTTAGTCTTCTAATATTTTATATTTCCTAAATTTTTATTATTGTATTATTATCGAAGAAAAACATTATTTTATAATAATAATATTTTACAATAATTATTTATAATTATTTAATTATAAGCAAAATGTATAAAAGTAAATTTTAAACAAATTTTGAATTATAACACAATATATTAAATTATATTAAAAATTATATTAATAAAAGAATTATTTCTTCTTCGTATATGTTACTGAAATTATAAATTATAAATAGATATATTAAATAATAACAAATTTAATTAAATATTTGAAAAATGAAATTAAATTCTAAAATGATTAAAAAATTAAGAATATTTTAAGTTCGATATAATTTTTCAGATTAAAATTTAATTTTTAGTAATACAAATGATTGTAAAATAATAATACCTTGATTTTTGTTGTTTCATCCGTATAATTATCGAAACGTATAGAATAACCAACTTCTGTACCTAAAATACAATTACGTTCATCAGCAACACGATTAGCTAAAGAAGTAGCTGCAACTCTCCTTGGTTCCGTGATGCCAATTATTTTTCCATCTGAACACCATCCTGCTTCGAGAAGATACTATAATCATTTATAAATAATATATATTATACATATATAATATACGCACATCAAATGTTATTTGTAATATATATAATATTAATAATAATAATAAATTCTTTCTATATTAAACAAAAATTAAATGATATACAATCATCTCTGGAATAGAAAAAATTTGTTTTTTTTCAAAAGATAGTTTTATCAAAACAATTAAGATTAGTGATATATTCTTTGAAAAAATATTTGTAAAATTTATGCAATATTCTATGAAATATCTATATGTTTAGAAATAAGTTATATCTGATTTTAAAATATTTGCTTAATTTTTTTCATTTAATTTGATTAATTTATTTAATTTTTATAAAAAAATTTACTTATTTTTGCTAAATTTTTAATAATAAT